CAACCAATATCACATCATCGAGTGAATCTCACATTGTAAATACTTTAAAAAAACCATGAAAAGAAGAAGCAACAAAAATCTGAAGCCGAAACACTTAATGAATCCATGCAAGCAGAAAATAGAGTTCGACTCTTGAAAGAAGTTGATGATTTGTTCACATCATCGATCGTGGCACTCAACAAGGTACTTGAAGCTAAACCATTCCACATGGTTGCAATGGCCATTCTAGGTGAAGTTTACTTCTTCTGGGCAAGAGCCAAGTTCGGAAAAGAGTCAGACAAGCACATCCAAAATGCAATTGAAATTTGGAGTCGTTTACTGACCTACTCTCAATACACAGGTCAATATAACTTGTCGTTGGATCACATCTCAAAAATGATTTCCTTCGCCTTAGAAATTAGAAAAGGAATTATTATTTGTGATGGAATGGCATTGAAACAAGGAAAATTACGCAAAAGTTGGACCGAACGATACTTCCTGTTAACGATTGAACATTTTGGTTATTACGAAATTAAATCCAACAAGAGCTTGAAAAAGAAAAAGATGAAAAATACTGTGCCTACCGATGAAATTGAATATGTGAAACAAAATCTTGAAGAAAAGTTCACCAGTAACAAAGACTATCCATTTTGCTTGGAAGTGGTTTGCAAGAAACGAGTTTTCTATATTTGTTACAGTTCACAAAAAGAATTAGATCGATGGGATGCAGCATTTGAATATGTCATTCTCATGAATCAAATTATGAAACCCTCAACCACCACAACATTGACCATTACGTCAAATTCATCGACCCATGTATCCCTCACAAAACCTTCCAAATAAAGAAATGTGGGAATTTTTCACATCCAAAATTGAATGGGATTATTATTGCAATTATTATTTAAAGGATTATAATGCGGTGGATTACAACCACTCAAAAAGCAAATGAGCGAATAAATCAGCCTTTGCTAACTCGAGGCAGATATTATCGTAAAAAAATGCAAAGAGTCCAACAACAACTGTCAGTTGCCATTCTGTGTCTGTTCTTGTTTGTTTCCTTTGTCCATTCTCTCACAGTCACAGGCCTTTACTGTCCTTTGAGAGATTGCAAAGATCGTGCCTGTCCATTCACTGGCTTTGTCATTGACAAACGTGGATGTCCCACTTGCAGATGTCGTGATCCAAGAGAGCATGCACTTCGTTTGACTGGAACCTTGATGAAGAAGATTCATTCTCAGTTGGAACAACAAAATTATCAATTCAGAAAACCAAACTTTGGTAACTGTCCAAAACATGCATGCATGAGGTTCTGTCCACATGGACACGAAACCGACCTCAATGGATGTCGAAAATGTTCTTGTTTGAAAGGTCCTTTATCTTTGACAGAAACATCCAAAACTTCTGACGTCGTGGCCAAACCTCCAATCAAAGATTCAAAGGAACAGTTATTGCAAGAATGCAAGAAAAAGTGTACAATTGGAAGAGCCTATGTACTGCCCAATGGAAAATGTGGATGCGTGCCACTCAATCGCATCCGTCCTGTGTCCACGTTGTCATCGCTATTGTCCAAGTGGTTACAAGGAAGGTAAATTGACGGGTCAACAACGTGGCTGTTCCTCTTGTGAATGCAAGGATCCGATCGAGCAAGAAATGAATTTAACAACGCAACATTTAGTTCCTGCTTCTCGATATCCCTCTTTCAAGTGTCCTTTGATGACATGTGACACTTCTCATTGTAAATTTGGAGTGAGAAAGTTTAATGGATGTAAGACTTGTGCTTGTGCAGAAGCTCCCAAATTCACACCTCAAGTAATTATGCCTTCACAACAACAAGAGAAGACTCTTTCAGATCTTGATTTGGAGGAAATGTTTGAGGAATAAACAGTGTCAAAATGATTTCCTTGAAGTGATATTTTAATCACAATTCTGAAAGGGATGATGGTTTTTGAAAGAGTGAGTTTTTTTGTCAATTTCACTACTTTCGTGTTTTTTCAAAAGAGAGGTGGAAAATATTTTTTGAATTTTTTTTTTCAATTTTAAAAAAAAATGCCCGAAAAGGAAGAACAATCATTTCCTTCCGTAACATCATCATCATCGGAGTGTTCATCTAGGAAGGATGATGATGCACCGATAACAACATCTGCCATTTCATTAACATCAAATCCATACAACGGATCAAAATTATTCCGATACGTGATGGATTATTTGAATGAAGTAAAAACCAAGCCTAAAGATTTGGTGTTGGAATGTGAGGAGGTGTCTATGCAAGTACTCGATAATGAAAATGGATTTAAATATGTGATGAGAAAGATGGATGGAAAAGAAGAGTTAGAGGAAGCTTTTTTTATTGAATATTTGGAAAAGTATTGTCATGGTAAGATTTGCTTTAATTTCAAATTTCATTTTGCTTTTATCATACTACGATACTTAAATTATTTGTTAATATTTTTATCATTACTAAAAACAATACTACTCATTGGTCATAATTATTGCTGAAAAAGAGTATCATCGATTCTTATTTGATCAAGAACAGTCGTCGTCGTCAGATAGTAGTAATGACGCAGAAATTTCTCCAACAACCATTCAACATGTCATCGAAATGCAGTCTTCGACTACCCTCATTGAAGATGTCACTGAGGAAATGAATTAGAGAAGTGAATTCACTTCGAGTGCTCAAGGTTCCATAAATAGAACTACCAAAAATCGAACAATCGAATATTTAAGTATTTTTTTGAGAATTCACGATCAATCAAAACAGTTAAAAAAAATGCAAGGAACACTTTCTGTACGTGATCGTTGTGGTGAGCCTGCTCTTTGCAGCAATTTACCCAATCGTGATCATGTCGCCACCTCATCTCATCCACGTGATCAAGCGAATTACAACTTGAACGATGCCATAATCGTTTCTATTCTTGAACGAGACAGATATTTATATGATGAGTACTATTACTATTGCCATGCACGTGCTAACGCACCAGAAGAATACTATTATAGACCCCTCCGTAGAAAGCACAACGCAGATCAACATCCTCTTTATGTCTTGGATATAATTTCTATCATATGGAGCTACATTCCTGAACAGTATTGGTTGCCCTCTCTTGTGAATTTAATGTTAAGCTGCAAGAGTATTGCCAGAGCATGTTTATCAAAAGAGGCCATAGCAAGTCTATGGATGCGATCACCAGGATTTCATGTGAATTCAGAGGGTTTGATGACATTCATGTTGCGAGACTTGTTGGAAATTTGTAAAATGTATCGAAACGATTGTGCGACTATATTCAAAAAAAAATTGACCATCTCTCGTATTTTGAAACTGTGTACCAAGGGGCTTAGTTTAACTGAGAAATTCGAAAACGTGACACTCCACAAAATGTTTATTTCTCAGAAATCTCTGATTGAGCTGCTTGGAATGCAAAGTAGAATCAAGTTCTTGTCATTCGAGGGTTGTAAAACCTTACAAGACGTTGAGAAACCAGTAGTTTTGAAAACACAACATTTAACTGGACTTTCCTTTCTAAATTCTGAGATTTTCTTTCCCAACTCTACAACGTTTCCCAAAACACTCCAGTCATTAGAATTTTTTAATACATTGTCTGAGAGCGATCAGGGGATTACAAACAAAATTTGGTCGCAATTGAAAACCTTGAAATTATGGTCTGATACTGATTTTCTTCATAAATGCAGTTTTCAACGGGTGCCTCTGACACATCTCATCGTTCCTGGACTGCAATGTAATATCCCTGACTGCGTTGTTGGTTTAACATTGGTTTCATTAACATATCGTCAACTCCACAAAAAAGCTGATTCAATTAAGCAGAATATGTCTCCATTCAAGCAACTTAAGAGCTTAGAAATTCGAAAATTGAAAATTTCTCGAAACATCCCTTTTGACCAAGTTGTTTGAGCTTCTTTTTGTAGTGTTTCCAAACCTTAAATATCTCACTCTTCCAGAATCCATCATATACAATACGAAGGCAAATCTTGAACAGAAAAAAAGTAACGATGATGAAGAAGAAAATGATGTAATTGAAACCTACAACAATACTTTAAACAGTACAACTTTCACCCCATTTAAAAACCCCTTTGCCTCAGACTCATTGGTACAAGTCAAAATATTACACAGCTCTAATGCTTGGAAATTCTTTTTAGAATGTTTATTGTATGAGATTCAAATGGAGTATCCTTCCCTCAATCTCCACACGGCCCTGGAATTGGTGACAGATGAGAAAGACGTACATCCTGTCACTCTAATCTCCAGAGCGGGTTGGGACATTCCGAAGAGTTGGCTCAATAAGCGTACAGAAGAATTCTTTAACATGATTCATCGTTGGTATCAAGTATACAATGACTATCCAAGAGTAAGACGTAAAATTGATTCCATGAGACAAACACTTATCACCTTGTGCTCATTTACAAACCCAGTTCCGAGCCAATCTATTGCTGATTTGAATGATAGTGCATGGGAGTTTCAGGGAATTAGTTTATTCTTAAATCAAGTATTAGATCTTCGAAAAAAACAATTAGCTATTTTTGCAGAATATGTTCCTCTGGAAACGTGTGAACCTGCAATGAAAATGCAAAATTTGTTGCAAGAAATTTCTAATGAATTCGAAAAAGATATTTGCATTGCAATGCTGTACAATGTTGCAGATTCTAAAATGGGAACCTACATCCATGAGTTGGCAGTTTTGGTGAAACAGTTGGAATATTTCTTGATCGAGAAAGATGTGAGCACCACTGTATTGAGACCAAATGAATGGTATTCTGAAGATATTGTTGAAGTGTACGACATTAAGGACGAAGACTTTATTGAAATTGATGTTGGAGACGATGACAAATTGTCAAACGAACTTGATGAAGAGATGTTGGACAATGAAGAGTTGGAGGATTAAAATTTTCTCATAGAATTCTTTTTATTTACAAAACATTATGTTGAGATTAGAGAACTGCTTTC